AGTTACAGAATTCAATAGCTTAAGGCAGGAATTTATTTTGTCTCTCATAGTTCCATGGATTGACTGGAATCAGCTGAGGAGTTCTCACTTGGGGCCTCTTAAGGAGCTAGCATCATCTGAAGGCTTCATTTTCTTCACAAGGCTGCTATCCAGGTTGGATCTCAGGAACAATTGGGGCCTGGGATCTCTCCCTCGCTCTCCTTGCCCTTACATAGGGTACCTTCACCTTCACATGGTCGTTTGGGCTTCCTCACAGCATGGGGGTTTACGGGTAAACAGACCTCTTACATGGGGGCTGGCATCGCACTGAGAAAGTATTTCAAGAGACCACGGTGGATGTTGCAAGGATTTCTGTGACCTTGATAGTCACGTAGTGTCCCCTCTGCTTCAGTCTAGTGATTGAACGAACAGGTCCTGCCCCACTTCAGTGTTGGGGGCACTACACGAAGGTATGAATTTCAGCAGGCATAGTTCCCTGGGGCCATCTTTGGAGACTATCACACTTCTCCTTTGACTTTTCAACAATTATCAGCACCTCAGTGAATTATCTGATTTTTGAAATACTCTGACCCCTTACTCCCATAACAAGTCACTTTTCTGTTCCTTTTCTACCTCTCTGACAAAAACCTCTCAGTGGTCTTCATAGGCCCCATCTTCCTCTGCCCAGTCCTCCAGGCCTGGTCCTAGATTTCTTCTCTTCCAAGCCTCTTCTCTCCCAAAGCCCTTTCACATGGAGGTCCATGATTTCAATTAATTCCTAAAATGGGCATGACTAAAGTATTATTCACTCCAACCCAAAACTGTCCTCTGAGCACCATATCCCACCATCTAGAAACCTCTTCTTGAATATTCCAAAGGCATATTAACATGTTCAACTAAACTCAGAATCGACCCCTGACCCAAATTGGGCCCCTTACAGATTTCTTCATTTCACCTAATGGCATCCTCACTGCCTCCACTTACACAGAAACTTGAGGGTCATCTCTTTCTCTCTCTCTCTCACTGAGTCTATTAATTCTATCACCAAAATATTACTTCTAAAATGTTTCTGCCCACTCTTCCCCACCTCCACTGCTGTCACCCTCTATCCAGGCCACCCTCTGGGGCTATCCCTAGAAGAATATGGTACCCATGGCAACTCAAGCCAGTGCAGAGTTTATCCAAAGTACTGGCCCTTAAAAGGGAGCTACTCTGTACTGGCACTGGCATCTTTTATTGGCTCTGGGAGATACTGTTAAAAACAGAAACTCAAAATTGAATTTTAATGATGGTTCATTAAAAAGATATGCATTTTGCAGCCTCTCACCTCAAGTGTGGGGCCCAAGGTAGATATTCCATATTCTCTTCCTAAAGGAAATGTCTGCTAACAGGTCTCCGTTCATCCACTCTTGCCTCCTAGAACTGCTGTCCACACAGCAGCAAGAGTGAAAATGTGAATTACGTCCTCTGCTTAAAACTCTCTCATGACTTTTCATTGATTTTGGGATAAAAAAAAAAAAGAAAAAAAAAAAACCCTTAACATAGCTTACAACATAAATAGGAAACTGTATTAGACAGTTTTCACACTGCTTATAAAGACATACCCAAGACTGGGTAACTTATAAGGAAAAAGAGGTTTAATGGCTTACAGTTCCACATGGCTGGGGAGGCCTCACAATCATGGTGGAAGGCGAAAGGCATGTCTCACATGGCAGCAGGCAAGACAGAGAATGAGAGCCAAGTGAAAGGGGTTTCCCCTTACAAAATATCAGATCTCATGAGACTTATTCACTCCCACAAGAACAGTATGGGAGAAACAGCTCCCATGACTCAATTATCTCCCACCGGGTCCCTCCCACAACATGTGGGAATTATGGGAGCTATAATTCAAGATGAGATTTGGGTGGGGACACAGCCAAACCATATCAGGAACTCAGTCTGTCCTCTTACAGCATTTTGACGCAAGTAACAGAAACTCAAACTCAATCTTGCTTGAACAATAAGGAATTCTAATATCTCATAGAACAGAAGTCCTGAGGTAGGGTGGCCTTTAGGGCAGACTGATTCAGCAACCCAACCTTTATCAAGGAGAAAGATTCTTTCCATATGGCTATTCTGCCATCCTCGGTGCTGGCTTCCTCCTGAGAGGGGAAGATAGCTGCAGCAGGCCCAGGCTTCACATCCAGATTTCACAACACTCAGGGGAACACATAGGGGCCATCTTTTTTTGTGACTTGCTCTTGAGAGCAAGGAAAGGTTTTTTGGAAGTCCCCTGTGAAACTTTCCTTAATTTCTCTTTTGCCAGAGTTGGGGCCCACCCTTATAACTAAACCAATCACTGCGTGATATGGTTTGGCTCTGTCCCCACCCAAATTTTATCTTGAATTGTAGCTTCCACGATTCCCACATGTTGTGGGAGGTAATTGAATCATGCAGGTGGATCTTTCCCATGCTGTTCTCATGATAGTGAATAAATCTCGTGAGATCTGATGGTTTTATAAAGGTGAGTTCCCCTGTACAAGCTCTTCTCTTGCCTGCCACCGTGTAAGACATCCCTTGCTCTTCCACCATGATTGTGAGGCCTCCTCAGCCATGTGAAACTGTGAGTCCATTAAACCTCTTTTTCTTTATAAATTACCCAGCCTCAGGTATGTCTTTATCAGCAGGTGGAAATGGACTAATAAACTGGGAGAGGAATTACTACCTGGAACTGGGAGTGAAGTTAGCATCACCGGATGCAGAAAGCTGTGTTAGGGGACGTATGGATTCCTGAACAAAACAGTGATTCTGTTGGAAGGAAGAAGGGGGTAGGCACTGCTAGGGAGGCATGTCCAGTGTCCCCCACCTTATACCTCTCCAGGTGATCTCACTCCAGCTTCTCTGAACTCTCTCCACTGCAGCTGCAGCAGTCTTCACATCCTTGTCTGCACCTGCTTCCTTCTGTCACAGTCCTTGCACACGCTTGCCCTGCCTGAAGAATGCCTTCTCCTAGGGAAATCCAACTCATCCATCTGTCTGGGAGGAAATTTAATCTCTCTTTAACCCTCATAAATTCGTACTTGGGACAACAGATTAACAAGGGAAAAACAAGCAAGTTTATTAACATGTGCAGTGCACATCACAAGGGAGAAACTTCAATAAAAGGTGTCAACCTAACGTAACCACAAGGCTCAGGAACCAGTTCAAATGAATTGATTTAAGTAAAAAGTGTGAGTTTGGCCATCCCAGGACACATGGACACCAAAGAATAGTGACCTCTATTCTCGGTGTGGGGAAAGGTGAAGATCATTTATACGGACAAAACTGGAGGCACTGAACAGAACTACAATATTTTCCATCCAAAGGCTAACATAGAGATATAAGATTGATTGGCTACTCTTAATTATGCTCTAAGGAGTTTGCTTAACATTCTATTGAGAAGAGGTAACAGTCACAAGGGTCTCTGTCTCCAAAGTCATTTAGTCTAGGTTTGAATGAAGAACAGAAAGTCTAGTAAAATATAACTCTCAACACAAAAGTCAGGAAGAAACAGCCATGCATCAGAGAAGAAAAACAAGCATGTTATATGACTCCATTTCCAAGGTTTAACTTTTCCCTTTGGCATAATCAATTTTGAAGGTCCTGAAATTTTCTGTTCACAAAGGTAACTCCAAGCAGTGGCTTAGAACTCTGGCTTATACAGCATCTTCAACAAAGAACAATACATTTTAGAAAAGTGACAAGACAAAGGAAAGCAGTTGTAGGTTTCCAGAGGTGGGAAACTGTGGGAAAGCAAATATATGGGAGTAAAGTAATGGAGTAAAGTTTGTTTCCAGATTACTCCTGTGCCATATCTGAGTGGACAACAGCTGTTCCCAGTAAAGGAGAATTTTTATCCTGTCTTTAGGTGGAAAAGCGGAGGAGGATAGAAAGAGCTTTCCCTCTGTTTGCTGCTTCTTAATTGCCTTTTGCTCAAAAATATTTACGTCAAAGAAGCATATTTTGGGATGACATATTCTAGTTTCTTTCACTTCCAATCTCAGCTAAATGTCTTCCCCTAGGGAAATCCAACTCACCCTTTTGTCTGGGAGGAAAAGCCGCTAGAATAAAAGCAGACGGAAGAACATGGAAGGACTAGACTTGCTGAGTCTCCTGGCCTTCATCTTTTTCCCATGCTGGATGCTTCCTGCCCTTGAACACTGAACTCCAAGTTCTGCAGCTTTTGGACTCTTGGACCTACACCAGTGGCTTGCCAGGGGCTCTAGAGCCTTCAGCCACTGACTGAAGGCTACACTGTCGGCTTCCCTACCTTTGAGGTTTGGGGACTTAGACTGGCTTCCCTGCCCCTCAGCTTGAAGACAGCCTATTGTGGGACTTCACCACGTGATCGTGTGAGTCAATACTCCTTAGTAAACTCCCTTTCATATATACCTCTATCCTATTAGTTCTGTCCCTCCAGAGAACCCTAATACATCATTCTCCACCCCTCCCTGTGTTCACATTGTTTGCCCCATAAGTCCACTCTGTCACTAGCACATGGCTTGCTTTGGCCAACAGGATGTGAGCAAATGTGACACAGCAGATCTTTACAAAAGCACTTGCACATTTCTGCTTCGGCCTTGCTCTGCTGAGTGGCCATGAGCACATGCCTGGGCTAGCCTCCTGGAGTATAACTCACCTGGGACAGCCAAATTGTCCTAGTTATCCCAGCTGTGGCCATCCTAGCAGAGCCAATAGCCAACCAGTCCCAAGCTTGTAAGAGAGCACAGTGAAAACGAGGAAGACTGCCCAGCCAATGGCAGCTGACTGCAGAGGCATGAGCGAGCCCAGCCCAGCAGAGATCAGCCAAGCTGAGCCCAGGTCAGCTAAAACCCAGCACACTTGTAAATGACACAGTTTATTCTTGCACGCCAATCAAATTATTGAGGTTGTTCATTACAAGGAATCAGTATGTCAATGGATAACTGGAAACAAATGCGGTTTAAACATCCAGCAACTGAGGAATGGTGCAATACCTTGCAGCAATTAAGAAAGCTGATACAAAGACTATACTTTCAGGGATCATTTCTATAGTTCATTACTAAAGAAGTTTATCTGAACATGTAGAGCACAGGACACCACAAGGAGGAGGCACAACATTATTCCTTGAGCCTGAAGCCGGCTCTTGGTATTGCATCACTAAAACAGCCATTTTTCACTGGTGACTGTTCTCTTCCAGGAGAATAAGGAGAGGATGCAGTTTGGGTGGTTAAAAAAAAAAAAAAAGAATTCTGATGCAGATGTATATTGACTTGAAATGTTCACCATAGACTGAGAAATTGTAGGAGGAATGGGAAGCAGGTTGCAAAAAATGTATGTAATATGACACCACTTTCATAAAACATATGTTTATACATTTGCATATGAATGAGTTGGGTCTGATACACAAGATGCTGAAAATGGTTATTTCCAAATGGTAGGATTTGGGGTAATTTTCATTTGTTGTTTGTCTGTGTTTTCGAGTTATCCTATAGGAACATGTGTCACTTGTACAATTTTCAAAGGGGAGAAAAAATTCTTTTCCATAGAGTACAGCATTTAAAAAACTTAAAATCTTTTAGCTTATCCATAACAACCCTGAGTGTGTTTCAAGTATTTTTTGTGGATAAAGTCATTATCAGCTCTTGTAGCATCCTGTGCAGGAGACTTGGTAACATCAGCTCGTCCAGGATTCACTAAGGATTGCAGGTAGCAGAACCCACCTATCTGATCCCACTGGCAACCCCGAGCTCTGTGGATGGCAGTGGCTTCATCTTTCCAGCCCACACAGAGCCAGGGAAGCCTTAAAGCTCCTGTGCCTCGGAGGAGGCAAGGGTTGGGGTCACTGTGGATCCCTACTGTCCTAACAGCAGAGTAGAGCCTTCCCAGTAACTTCCTGCCGACAGAGGTTAGTTATGACCCTTGGGAAAACAAAAGACACCTTTTAAAGTTTCCTACTAACAGGAAGTCAAATTTCATATATTCAGAGTAAGAAATTCAATGCCCCAGGGCAGGCCAAGGATAGCTACCACCTTAATCCTTATAAAGGATGAAAGGACTTCCTGCCTGCCTGCATTTCCTCCTTCCTTGCTCTCTCTATTTTTCTCTTTCTTTCTTTTTCTCTCTCTCATTATTCCTCTTTCCTTCCTTTCTTATCCATCATTTGCAGTTAGCCTTTTACCTAAAATAAATCCTAGTTTAAAGCAAGTAGATCCATCCCTGCACTCTCCTTACCAGTTCTCAATTTGCAATCAATCCCAAATACTTTTTTTTTTTTTCTGCCACTACTGCTGCTGTTGCTAAAACTCTCCTCAGAGAGCCGGTGAAAATTACCCATCAGGCTGATGGGGTCTCATGGAATCATATAATCTGATCCCAGCTTGCTGTCCCTAAAACACTCACTTCTTTTCTTCATTCCTACTTCCTTATCCTTTCCCCGAATTCGAGTAGATCTTAATCTTTTCAACACTTTTATGCCCCAGCACTCCTGCCCTACCCTCCTCATACTCTGTGGAGGCATTGACTCAGAACATACCCAACAACTGCCCTTGCATCTACCTCTAAATGTCTCCCTGCTGTTTATTTCCAGTGTATCACCCTTCTCACCCCCCATCCCCGGCCAGGCTCTCGATCCTAACCCAACTGGTTTTCCCTAGGACAGTGATTATTTCAGTTCAGATCCAGGGGATCATGAGGAGTCCATGAGGCCCTGCAGGTGATCCACAAATATTCAGAAAGCAATGCAGAATCTTTATGTCAATTTTTAGGTGAGAGTCCCTAGTTTTCTTTTAATTTCCAAAGGGCTCTACAGATCTAGGACAGTGCTTTATCAGTTACCCTCTCTTTCTTGCATTTTTAGGCTCCCTCCCTTTCAACTGGTATCCACTTCTCCATCTACACATAACCTGGGTGTACCAGGGCCATGGACAACTATGAAATATAATTACCAGGTGTATTAGTCTGCTCTGTTTGGCATAACAAAATACCACAGGCAGGGTGGCTTAAACAGCAGAAATGTATTTTCTCACAGTTCTGGAGGCCGAAAGTTTTAGACCAAGGTGCCAGCATGGTTGGCTTTTGGTGACAGTTCTCTTCCTGGCTTGCAGATAGCCACTTTCTCACAATTTCCTCACATGCTGTCATGCAATCCTCCCACCTCAGCCTCACGACTAGCTGGGACCACAGGTGTGCATCACCATGCCTGTAATTTTTTTTTTTTTTTTTTTTTGTAGAAACAGGGTTTCTCCATGTTGCCCAGGCGGCTCAAGCGATCCTCCTGCCTCAGCCTCCCAAAGTGCTGGGATTACAGACATGAGCTGTCATGCCCGCTCATTTAACCTTAATTACTAAAGACTCTGTCTCCAAATACAGTCACAGAGGACAGAGGAGAGGGAGTGTTAACACTTCAACATATGAAACTTGGGGCGACACAGTTCAGTCAATAGCACCAGAAATAAAAATAACTTGTTTTAAGATATCAAAGTTGCTATCTTTGTTACACTGACAATAGATTCCTAACTTATCTTTTTTCTCTGGCTGCTTTTAAGATCTTCCCTTTATCACTGGTTTTAAGCAATTTGATTATGAGATGCCTTAGTGGAGTTTTCTTCATGTTTCTTGAACTTGGAGTTTATTGAGCTTCTTGGATCGGCAGATTATAATTTTCATAAAGTTTGGAGATTTTTTCACATCATTTTTTCAAATATGTATATTTTTTGCTTCCCCTTCACAGAGTCTAATTATATATATAATTCCAGGTGGTACATCCCACTTCCTGGGTTCAGTGGGATAGTCCTACCTCCCTGGAGACTCTATCAACCAACACATCTTCAGCCCCTCCCTCCTGCAGTAGGCACAGCAACTCAAGGAAGACAGAAATTTCAGTTTGTCCCAGAGATAACTAATGCTCTTTTATTTTTAAAATTCATTCTTATCTGAGTCTTTTACCTAGGCCAGTTTCTCTTGCTCTGCCTCCAAGTTCATTAATGTTTTCTTCTGATTGTAAAGACTGGGGGACCTCTTTCTTAAGTGATCTTTGTCTTAAGATTTGGTGCAATATATCAGTAGGCCTAACAGAATGAATGTCTAACAAAAGAAAGTTGAAAACTAAATGACTGTTACCTTTCTCTTTGAAATACTGTAAGAATGAAAGTTAGATATGCTTTGTGACTTCCACGAAACCCTGACCACTACACAGGCTGTGATTTTTATCAGTGCAAGATGCAAGGTGAGCAGGCTCACTGAGAAAACGCACGCCAGGGACTTCACAGTTCCTGCTCTGCATGATGATATGGACTAGAAGGAAAAAGATGTTAGCATGAGGGATTTCTGATCAGGGTCAAGCTGTCTTCTGATCACTAATGACTTGTCAGCTCGTGGGATGGATGAACAATGAGTGTCTTTGGTTACAAACTGCGATCTACCTACCAATTGTGAAAACTGTATTCACAGGAGTCGACAGCAGCAGTTGATGGCAAGATGGCACTCAGAAATGGCATTGACATACTTTAGGATGTGGAATCATAAGTGAGACAGCACACAATTAGAATGAAGAATTGGCAGAGGGGGTTAACTTGGGAGGAAAGGTGTGGATATAAACTGTTACTGAAGAAGACAAATAGATTGTTCATGACACTGAGACTTTCTATGATACTACAGCAGAAAAGATGTCCACGCATGTGACTGACCTTATTTCATTCCTAAGTGAGATAGTTTTGGATGCAGTGCTCGCTGTTGCTGAATACATGATCCCAATATGCCTTGTGTTTCTTTCTTTGGGAATATTTGAATCTTGTCTCAATGCTCAAAATGGATCAGAGATACAGATTTTGATAGCAAAGTGACATTATTTGTGAGCTCTTGTGAAGAAAGTCATTGGTTTTTATCTTCTTTAGAGTTAGACTGTGGGTGTGGGTATAAAAGATGGGATCTGTAACATCTTTCTTTCTTAGAAATGTATTTCCTACTCCCATGGAAATGGTTGCATTAGATGTTCTCTATCATTTAATAATATACTTGTGGACTAAAAGATAAAAGTGCTGTATGAAATAAGCCAATTATGTTAAACTAGCACATCTGCCTTTACTGCCTTTATCATTAGCCTGAATAGAAAGGCCTTTAAAATTGATTTTTTAGAAAGCAGCTGAATGCATTCTTTGCTATTATATTTATTCAATAAACTATTTAATTAGTAAAAAGATAGTGTCTTCTGCAATGTCTAACTTTCTGCTAATCTTATATGGTGCATTTTTCATCCCAGATTTCAAAGTTTTGATATCTGGGCTTTCAATTTGTGTCTTTTCTGTATTTTCTCTGGCTCTTCCGAACTTTTAAAACATTTAACACAATTACAATAATTGTTTTAATGTTCTTCTCTGTTAATTCTAACATTTGTGTCAGTTCTGGGTCAGTTTTTACAGACCGATTATTCTCCTTGCTGTGTTTTTCTGCCTTGTTGTGTCTTTGATTGGATAATACAAATTGTGAATTTCACCTTGTTGGGTGCTGGAATTTTTTTTTTTTTTTTCCCTGTATGTTTTTTTGAGCTTTTCAGGTCTTGCCTTTGTGCTCTGAGAGGCATTTTCTGGAGCAGTGCTCAGTCTAGGGTTAATTATTCCCAACCACTGAGGCAAGACCTTACTAAGTAGCCAGTGCCCCATGAATGATAAGTTTTTCCAGTTTGACTGGTAGGAACAGGTACCATGCCTGGCACCCACTGTTCCTTCTAATCCTTTCAGATGGCTCATTCCTCAGCCTCACATGCATGCACTGTTCGCCACTTTGCTGAATGGCCAAGGGGATCCTCTGTGGAGCTCTGGGATTCTCTCTCTGAGCAGCCGTCTTCTCTCTGGAACTCTCTCTGTAGAACCATGGCTGACTTGGTCTCTGTGGACACTCAACTCTGTCTTTTCAGCTTCAGGAGTCGGCCTGAATCCATGTTAGTTCTCCCTCTCTGCACAGTGACCTGGCAACTCTGCCAAGGTAATTCTGGGGTAATCCTAGGACTCAACTAGTTTGTTTCTAATGTCGTTCATTGCCTGGTGTCCAGTGTCTTGAAAACTGTTGTTTCATATATTTTGTTTGTTTGTTTGTTTCAAATGGGAGGATAAATCCAGTCCCTCCTTCACTCCATCTTGACCAGAAGCAGAAGTTAGTAGCTATTATTATTTTATCATTCATTCAGGATAATTTAGGGGCACCTACTATGAGCCAGGCACTATGCTAGGTTGAG